AGATCTTGAAATTATTTATCCTAAATTCTTATTAGTGTGCAATTTCTTTTGCTTTCCAAAATCGAAATTCACATGATGAAAAATTTGCGATGTGATGTGAAACTTTTTTGATCTTTACTTTCTTTAATTCTATTAAGAAACACATTAGAGACTTACTAAAAATTTATTATCTATGGATGATGAAATGACCCAAAAAAAAAAGTTCGTCCTTTTTTTTCATTTATTATATTGGTCTTACCATTTTTATTCCATTATATCACATTAATAATATATATTGTCTATAGATGACTGAATTTGCATGCTTTTGTTGTGTTCATGTTTTTATTTTATTTGGATTTGTTACGATTAAGCTTGAATGATAATTGATTGTAGGTTGCATGAAATTGGAAGTGAGTACACGAAAGTGAAACATCTGGAATCGCGGATGCGTTTTTTTCCGAAAATTAGGTATGTGGTGGAATCGCTTATATATGTAATTCATTGTATCATAATATTATTCCAAACAATATGTTACTACTATATAAATATTATATTAACCAAAAAAAATATAATAATTTTAAAATTTTGATTTTCCGTTTTGAAAAATAATCTAAATAATACAGAAATAACAGTAAAAATTAAGATAAGAAAACACAATTTAATATAGAGCAACAAAAAAAATTATTGGAATTAAAATTCTATCAAATCTAAAATATTATATAGTTTATTAGAAGCTTAAAAATAACAAAAAGTCAAAAAATCAAAATTTATTGTCCTTATGATATTAATTTCTTAACATTATTCTTTTAATATTACTTGTGTTTGTCATTTTAGTGAGAATAAAGAGGTAATTTGGGAAAACTTTCATTATCGCTAATTTGGGTTCGTTTCAATATTCTTTTAGTTTTGTATTGAGAGTCTGAGAACGCCTAAAATAACCCTAATTTAGTGAGAATAAAGAGGTAATTTGGGTCGTTTCAATATTTTTTAATTTTGTATTTAGAGTTTGAGAACGCCTAAAATAACCAAAATTTTCTTATTTTTTACTAACTATTTATTTTTAAGATTTGTTTATGAATTTTTAGTTATTTATCTGTCTTTATTAAAATACCTGAATTATTTTTTCATTATATCACATAAAATTCTAAGTGTAATAATTTAACAACTTAAAGTTATCAGAAAATAATATCAGTTACCTTTTCAGTTTTCTAAATTCTATAACTATTTAATAATAAAAATATTTTAAAATCATTTTTCTGAATTCTATAAAGAATCTAAAAGATTGCAGGTTTAGATTTTCAGATTCATAAACTGAGTCTACTTTATATTTATTTTTATGTAATTTTGAATAAGATATATGAATGACATACATCAAACTTATTTTACTTTTTAAAGATTATTATAGTCACCATTGTAAAAGGTTTTCTATGTTAATGAGTGTTAATGAGTATTATGCATATATAATTTTTAATTATATAGCTTTTTAATAAAGAGGTAGAAACTAGTTTATCAAGGAATTACAAATATTTTATGGTTTATAATCATTATAAAGATCATCCTTCAGATTGGATAACTAATCAAAGAATTATCTTTTAATGAATGTGTAGTTGGAAAAAATATATCATACATCTATCTATAAAATGTTATAAACCGATTTATAAGAGGTTTAGACTGATTTACAAAGACTTGCAAATTAATATATACTGTAAGAGAATATATTAAAAAAATGAAACCACAAGTATTAAAACTTTAAATTTAAATTTATAACATTTTTATAAAATGTTAATTCAATTTTTTTATAAATCAATACTTAAAAGCTTAAAGATATTTCTAAATAGGTTTCTAAGATTTTTTTAGTTTCAATAAAAATAATATCAAAATATCTAATTTGGTGTATTTCATTTCTGTACCTTACTCCTAATTATTCAGTTTACACATTAATAAATATTAAGCATTCTTATTTCAATTATGATCTGAAACTTTTAGTTTAAATTTTTTAAGTTTTTAAGAATTTGTTAATAAATTTAAAAATTCTATGTATAATTAGGATTTTTCAAAATATAATTAGAAAATTCGTTTTCTTTCCATATAATTTAATATTTTTTATTTAAATACTAATACTTTTTTATGAAAAAGTTGAAAAAAGTTAAATAGACGTTACTCCTCTTGCATGATACACGTTTATGTTCCAATACAGTATATCATATATAAATACAATACTGTTTTCTTAAAAAAAAAATCAATACAATATTTCTCTTTTAAATACTTGTGCATAATATAGTAGTCAAATATATTTATATATCTCTATTTCATATACTATTACTTAACTAAATTTTTGAATTTTATTATAGTTATGCATGTATTTATTTTGGTAGGTCTTATAATTCATGGATGTAAACTAGTAGAAAGTAATATTGGTTAATAACACAAAGAATTTATTATATATTTTTAAAGTGCGTAACAAAAAAAAGAAGGATTTTTCATTGAAAAGAAGGAATTTACACACTTTGAAATTATGATGGAATCTATTCTTCCATTAATTGTCATTGTCAATATTATTTTTGACAAGTTTTTATTCATGAATCATGAACTACTTTTGTAGTCGTAGGAAAAATCTTATTATACATATACAATGTACACATATCTATTAAGTCTTTTGTTTATAATTTCAAAGTGAGTAAGAAAGAACCCAAAAAAAAAAAAGTTTCTCTCATTAAGTTTATAGAGATTACATGCTACTTTTGTGCATGGAAAGTGGCATGTAATCTCTCTAAACTTAATGTGAGAATTCTTTCTTTTTTTTCTTTTTCTTACCCAGTTTGAGATTATTTTAGTATAATTTTAACTCCTCAATTCCTCCTCATCCAACACGGCAACACCATTCCAAAAAATATCCATTTAGAGTCGAAGAATTATTTAAGTATATTTTTGTAGCTTACTGGAAAAAGTTTAACTAGTCTTCGATTAATATGCAATCTATAATGTTGAGTTTATATTAAGACCTCAGATAGTTTTCTAATCAAACAAAAGTCAAGTAAAATCAAATGAAATATAGCTTCGATTTGCTATTTATACGTCTTTTGTGTTATAAACTTATAATGAAAAAGTTTCATTTTTTTTGGTAGATTAATGAAAAAGTTTCATGGATAAGTGGAAACCATTCTCTCCAAATTTAATGAGTGAATTATTCTCTTTCTTTCTTTATGAACTTTAAAATTATAATTAATGGATTCTTTACATTAGTTGTGAATATTGCTTTACTAGTTTTCATTCAAAAATCATGAACTATCATTATAGTCGTAAAAAAAATTCATTATACATATACAGTGTACACTAAAATGAATAACTATTTAATATTCTTTTTTTTTTAGAAAATTAATTAGAGTTTTACAGTCATGATAAAAAGAGAGAAGAATCTTTTATTAAATTTGGAGAGAATCGTTTCCACTTGTCCATGCAAAGAAATATCAAAAACGTTTTAACGTCACGTATCCTTCCTCACCCCATACTTTCCCCGAAAATATTCCGTACACAGTCGAAAATTATTTTAGTATATACTTAGATTGCCAAAATCGTTACCTGATTTTCATTTAGTAACTCCCTTATCAGGAAAAATGGAAAGTATAAAATGGAACAACATATTAATTAAATTTCACAGAAAAAATCTTAATCGACCAAACATATATGTTTTTTTTGTTAAATTTAAATCATAGAAAAATAACGAAACAATAATTGAAATTTTGAAAAATTATGCATCTAGTTTAAAAACAATGGAAAATGTGTTATTCATTTCGTTAATCAATCATTCCACGAATTATTGATTATGACATATAAATGGTATTTGTTAGTAAAAATGAAAACAATATAGATTGATAAATGATAGCACTAATTTAATTTTTTTTTTGTGTCAATCTAAGTATATAATAAAGTAATTGTTGTCAGGTTCTACTAACAAATATCATAACTATGTCGTAATCGTAGAATATTGATTGATTAACGAAATGATAACACATTTCCATAGTTATTAACTAAATGCATAACTTTACAAATTCCAATTCATCTTTCTTTATTTTCTATGATTTAATTTTAATAAAAAACATATCTTTGGTCGATTACATTTTGTTTTTTTTCTGTATAACTAATATATTGTTCCATTCACTTTCCATTTTTCTCTGATACGGGGCGTTACTAAATGAAAATCAAGTAACGATTTTCGTAAGGAGTTTGATATTCTAGCTTTAAGCTATGAGACAAATTTGCTATTTCAACCTAAGTCAAGTAATCTCAAAGGTACAATGAATCCTCCTCTTCTCTTCCAAATCAGTTATCGTCTGAGTCTGTAGAAACAAAAAGCCTTTATTCTTGCTCACAAAATGTTCTTTTCCCCTAAAAATAAGTCGTAGAATCTACGTATATACAAATCACATGTTGACCAGTAAGTAATGAGAGTTAAATGGACTTTAAAAACTAGAGTTTAATGTGGTAGAGAGAGAGCGGAAGACGCCATTGAATTCTGGAAAAAAGGAAGATACAGAACTTTTGCAACACTTGTTCACCATGCAAATTCCACTCGTCCCTTTGCTCTTGGTTCCAAACTTTAACCTAACCTATCTTCTAAACTATGGTTGAGTGTTGATTAAGTGACATTAGATCTTCTTGCGTTACTATCATCATAATAATCATATCAAGATTTTGAAAATCTTACTCTTACAAAACCCTAGATTCATGAATGTAGGTTATACAAATGTCACTTCCTTACCATAAATAGTAAAAAATAAAAAATCAAAAATGAAAAACTTTGTTATGGTAAACCCAAATCTCTGATTGCCCAGCGTCCATTTTAAGCCTCTGTTTCGATCTGCACAACACACATACACACAACACAACACAAACACAGTCTCTCTCTATCTTCTCTTTCTCTCTCTCTATCTCTATCACTGAAACCCAAAGAGATCCACCATTTGTTCTTTTTTCCTTCATACAGAGAACTGTTTTCTTCCGCACTTCCTTTTTACTAGGCAGTGTTAACCAATTGAGAGAGAAAAATGATGGTTGATGAAAATGTGGAAACCAAGGCCTCTACTTTAGTGGCAAGTGTTGATCATGATCATCATGGGTTTGGATCCGGGTCGGGTCATGATCATCATGGGTTATCGGCGTCTGTGCCTCTTCTTGGTGTTAACTGGAAGAAGAGAAGGATGCCAAGACAGAGACGATCTTCTTCTTCCTTTAACCTTCTCTCTTTTCCTCCTCCTATGCCTCCTATTTCCCACGTGCAAACTCCTCTCCCCGCACGTGTAAGCTCCTCAATCTTATACTTTCCCTCTCTCTCTCTAAATATTATTAATTCAAAAAAAAAAAAAATTTATGTTATTTTTATAAAATCTGTGTGGATCCAAATAAAAATAGATTTAGAGTTTTGTATATTTCTATTGGATTGGTTTTATTAAAAAGATTCAATTAATGTAAATTGTGATGATGTCAGAAAATTGACCCAACAAAGCTAAGATTCCTCTTCCAAAAGGAACTCAAGAACAGTGACGTCAGCTCCCTCCGTCGTATGATACTCCCCAAGGTGATCTTTGATTATATTTGATCATGATGGTTTTGATGATGATGATGATAATGATGTTGATGTCTTGATGATGATGATGATCGATGTAGAAAGCGGCAGAGGCTCACTTGCCGGCACTGGAATGCAAGGAAGGGATTCCTATAAGAATGGAAGATTTGAATGGTCTTCACGTTTGGACCTTCAAGTATAGGTACTTTTACATTTGATCATTTTACTCCTAAACAATATTATGTAACAAAGCATAGGTTATATAGTTGAATCAATCATTCAGTTACAAATTTGGTTAGCAATAATATCAAAATTGGCTAGTACGAATCTATATGGATAATTCTTGGTAGATCAATCATTTTGAAAGTATTCACTTATCCATGTCGATCTTAAGATCTTCAAAATATATAATTCGTCTCCATGATGGAATAATATAGCATCATCTCATTTAAGACTAACCTAAAGTAAATGAGATCTTTAAAAGAAATTATATGTTTGAGTCTTGGCCTAATGTTGTGATCATTAGGTACTGGCCAAACAACAATAGCAGAATGTACGTGCTAGAAAACACAGGTAAACTTACCGACAATCCTGTTTTTTTTTTTTTAATTATATCCCGAATATAAACAATCGAATCAATTGTTAAAAATATCGTGTCGAGCTGGGTATTATTTCCAGGCGATTTTGTGAACGCTCATGGTCTGCAGCTAGGTGACTTCATCATGGTTTACCAAGATCTCTACTCAAACAATTACGTACGTTACACGCTACTAAAAAGAATATTCTACAAAACGTGTTACATGTTATGCCCAATTTTATTTATTTATTTTAATTTAGGTTATACAAGCAAGAAAGGCATCAGAAGAAGAAGGAGACGAAACCAATGTCGAAGAAGACGACGTTTACACAAACTTAACAAGGATCGAAAACACTGTGGTTAACGATCTTCTCCTCCAAGATTTTAATCATCACAACACCAACACCAACACCACCACCACCACCACCAACAACAACAACAACAAATGTTCTTACTATTATCCCATCATCGATGATGTCACCACAACCACCGGTTCTTTTGTCTACGACACGACAGCGTTGACCTCCAACGACACTCCTCTCGATTTTTTGGGTGGACATACGACGACTAGTAATAATTATTACTCCAAGTTTGGAACATTCGATGGTTTGGGCTCCGTTGAGAATATATCTCTCGATGACTTCTACTAGATGATCAATCGATGGGCTCATGATGATTCATATTGGTGATCAGCTATTTTATTACCTTATAATAGATATATAAGAATTAAATGCATTATGCATATTATCAAGTGTTCAGTATTACATTACAGTTTATATGAAAATTATAGCTAGATGGGAGTCATGAAGGTGTGTTGTGTTGTTTGATGAATAAATGTTATTTAGTGTTACGGCTTTAAATTATTAATCCTTGTCCGACAGAAAAAAAAAGATATATAATACTTTTATTTTTATGGAAGATTTTTTGTTTGTCTTGCAATGTTAACCATTATATACATGATAAAACCACATGTCTTGCAACCCAAACTCACAATAAATTTAAATTGCAAACCTGAACTAATAGACGTTATGCAAAAACCAACATTGACTTTGACGGTGTCAGTCAACCGTTAGTTACTGATGATTAGGACGCTACTCTATAGTTGACGTGGCAAACGTATTTTTAGTGACTTCGACGATTTACCACATTAATGTACTTATGTACTTAGGATGTCACTAATATGGTAAAGAGAAGAAAAATAACCCATCTGCCCCACCATATTAGAAAAAAAAATTATTTGATAAGAAAAATATTTGTGTTATCAAATAAATTTTTATTTTTTTAGTAGAAATTTTTCTTCTAGTAAAAAAAAAATTGATCAAATTCGTCTTCTTTTATCTCACACCAGATGATAATGTTTCTAAAAAAAAAGTTTGATTAATTTGTTCAAATACAAAACAAAAATATAGATACCCATTTTGAAGTAAAAGAATTTTAAAAATATTTTTGGGATTAATTTGTTTTTTTCTAAAAAAGAGATATTTAATAATACCTCATATGATCACTGTTTTTATTTTATCATCTTCTTCTTCTTCTCTTACTTTGTCTCTCTCTCAATGCCTTACTCAAGCATCGAACTTATCACACGTTAGCACTTAGAGTGCCATCGCAGACCAGACGAGCTACAAGAGTTTGGCGTTACGTACCACCGTTACTTTCTTTTATTGTATCAGCTAGACTCTAGTCAAGAATTAAGTTTAATGGTTAACAAAACCAATAAATTTGCAAAATCGTTATAGTATTTTCTTACATTAATCCGATTAAACAAGAATAAAAATTACTCATCTAATTCCAAATCCAACGAAATTATAAAAATATCGAATCACCAATAATCTCCACAAGAACAAAACCCATCTTTGAAATGGTGAAACCGCTTCGCATCTCTAACCACAAACTCTCTATCAACAATCTTTGAAATCAACTTGATCACATTGTGACAATCGCTGCAAACTCTCAGATTCTTAACCACATTAACCGTCGAGCCAGAAACCGTGTTCATGATCCCAAACGCAATCGCTAGTTTCTCACTGTGAACTCTCAGTGTCATCTCTTTCTCTTCCTCATCAACATCATGACATACAGATGATGTGTTCGATACGTAACCTGCCTCTAACAGCTTCCTGTTCAGTTCTGCTAAAAACTCGTAAATCTTCTCGCGTTGAGGATGCTCTTCGTCTCCTATCAAGAACACATGAACCTCACCATTTAACTCAAGTAGGCTAAAACCCGGGGGTTTCACCAATCCACGATTCTTCATTATCATTCTTACCCTCTCAACATCTTTCCAACGCCCCGCATCAGCATAAATATGCGAAAGCAGCATGTAATATCCGCAATTTGAAGGATCTAATTCGAACAAACGTGCGACAGATATCTCAGCGAGCTCCACATTCTTGTGAATTCTACAAGCTGCAAGAAGTGAGCTCCAGATGATAGAGTCCGGCTTCATCTTCATAGTCTGAATCAAATCATAAGCTTTCTGAAGAAACCCACCTCGACCTAGAAGATCAACCATACAACCATAGTGTTCTAGACCCGGTTCAACGCCAAATCTTCCTTTCATTGCGTTAAACCAGTGCCAGCCTTCAACATGAAGACCCGCGTGACTGCAAGCAGCTAACACCGATACAAAAGTAATGTAATTTGGTCTAACCCCTGAATCGATCATAGTAGGGAATAACTCTAACGCTTTAACCGCGTGGCCGTGCATTCCATATCCAGCAATCATGGCGGTCCACGACCTAACATTCTTGTTTTTCATTCGATCAAATGCTTTTCTCGCCGTCTCAACTCTTCCACATTTGCAATACATATCAATTATCGACGTCCCCACTATCACATCATCCTCAAGACCCATCCTTATTACCTGCATATGCACATTATCTTTGCAAATTAGACAAATTCATCAATACATATAACCAAAAATACTTGTCACTCATGACAAGAAAAGGTTGCAGAACAGGAATCTCTATTCACCTGATCATGTATACACTTGCCAATACGCAGAGCACCAGAATGCGAAACTGCCAACAACACAGTAGACAATGTAATGGAGTTAAAGGTCACAACTTTATCCTTTACCAGTCTACGGAAAACTTCAAAAGCCTCATTAGACATCCCACTCTGAGCATACACACTCATAATCGAATTATACGAAACACGATCCTTATCCACAATCTGATCAAAGATTTTTCTCGCCACAGCTACACCTCCTTCTCCGCCCTTAGCATAAGCATCCAAAAGAGTATTTCCAACACTAACTCCTCTATCAAACCCTCTCTTTATCACAAAGCTATGAACTGATTCTATTAAACCCTTAGCAGCAACACGAGAACAAGCCGAGATTACCGAAACCATACCCATAGAATCAAGAAACATTGCTGCGTCATCCTCATGATCTCCGTCATTTTCTTCAACCAATAAATCTTTGAAAAGGGAAACTGCTTCAAGGGCACTACCATTAAGGTCATACCCTCGAATCATCGAAGTCCAAGAAACAATATTTTTCTTGGGAATTTCGTCGAACACTTTCCGTGCATCCACAAGTTGCCCACAAGTTGAATACATAACTATCAAAGCCGAAGAGACAAAGATGTCAGATTGATAACCGAAGACATAAGCTTGCTGATGGGTCTGTTTTCCGGAGAAGATATCAAGAAGAGACGAACATGCTTTAATGGCGCAAGGAAAACTAGAGCGAGTTGGGTATAGAGAGAGTTTTCGCATAGAGGAAAAAGCTCGAAGAGCTTCAGCAGAATCACCGCTACGAGCGAGGTCAGCGATGACAGAGTTCCATGAGAAAACATCTGTTTTGTCGACATATCTGTTGAACAAAGTCGTTAGGTTTTGTCTCTCTGTGTGTCTCTCCGTGTGGAGAAGACGAGAGACGGAACAGAACAGAGCTTTTTTACTCGGAACCTTCATTCATTCTTTTGTCTCAAATTAATATTTTGGCTAATTTCATACTTAAATATCAGACAAAATTCGAATATTTTATTTTGTTCAAGAATTAAGTCAATAACATAAAGCTAGCAAAACCAAAAACAAGAACAAATATCAAAATCAATGAAACGTTTTTGTTATCTTTTTTTCCTCATTTCACAAACAAAACATTACAAAGAGGCCGTGGCATTTCATCATCTGTGAAACCTTTGTTCTTGAGCTTCTGCAGATTCATGGTGTATACATATATGTGAATCCTCGTTTTTCCAAATAATTTATCGGTAAATAACGCTACAACAATCTAAGATGAGCAGTATCATTCATTCGTTTGATCTGCCACCCATTTCTCCACGAATGCAGTAACACAGTCACTGAAGAGTCTTCTACACAGATCTTATGAGTCATTACCGGACTGCAACCGAGGATTCCGGTTAGAAGACATTTTATAGGCAAAGAATGCGTGAAAACACCGATGCAATTCGAGGTTAAGGAAGTGGAATCGCTTAGGTCATTGTGATTGTGATTAACATCTTCCCTTGGGGATTCATCTTCAGGTTCGTGATTGGTCATTACTTGAAGTCTGCTTTTACCAGATTTCTTCCTTGTAAGACTGGGACGATGCTTGTGAAGTAAGTCCCAGTTAGTCGAAGGAAGTGACGAACCACCATCACGCTCATGGGTTTCATTGTGATTCGTAGTGGACGAATAATCTGACCTGAGCTTCTCTGCAAGTCCTGAGACTGTCCCATTTAGAAACTGAACCATTCGAAACTCTACTTGCCTCATTGATTCTCCAGATGGAGCTGTGAAATCAGGCTGGCATCTTTCAATCAAACTCAAAGTTTCGGGACTATGAATCTCTGCTTGATTGCAACCTTCCCAATCACCTAAACTCATCTCAATAATAGCATCTGACGATTGTACATGATCCTCTGGAAAACTCATTTCCTGCAAAAATCCGATTCAATAACCACTTTCAAACTCATTTCTTTCACTAAAGGATCCATTGATATATGAAGCTGAACACTCGTTAGATTGTGCCTAAGCAACAGTTATAGAAGACTAACAAACAACGAATCGTGCCTCCTTAATCAACCATGAACAAGATAGGCTCTGTTCGTTTCCAGCGACAAAGAGCATTAACAGCAGTACTTAGTGGTTTCAATGGATTCATGTTGCTCAAGTTTCGTCAACATTAGAACAATCAACTCTTAGTCAGATCAATCTCACACAAATTAGGCAACATTGTACAATTTGCTAAAACTTAGATCCAAGAGAAGAAACTTTACCTGACAAACCAAAACAGCCATGGATCTAGCTCGATCCAGAGGTGACGAATAAACAGAATTGAATCGAACACCTTGAGATTTGAAGAAAACAGCAAGAGCCCTAGCTTGACGTTTACCATTACCAGTAAGAGCAGCTACATGACACCTCCCACCAATCAAATCAGGTCTTAGATTAAGATCACACTCACCATGACTAATCAGATAAACCTCCGTCACAGCTCGATCTTCATCACCAGACGCGATTCGAGAGAAGATAGACGGCGGCTGCGGTTGCGGCGGCGGAGAGAGGACGTTATAAGGATCCCAGACTTTAATCGATGGTCCAAGCCTTGGAGTTCCGAGAGATGATAGTTGTGGTGAGAGTGGTGAAGCTGAAGCGTGACATGGTAACATCTCAGGCTCTTGTTCTAGAACTTTCTTTACTAGGAGATTGTCTACTTCTCTTGTGTTTGATCTGTCATTATCTTCTTCTTCTTCTTCTTCTTCATTGTCAGTTTCCTCTTCTTCTTCTTCGTCTCCTACTTCCGCTGATTGTGAAGAACCCATCTTCTTTGTGAAAAGTGCTCGGAGAAATTGAAGAAGAAGAAGCGGAGAAGAGCTTTTTGTTTTAGCTTAAAGCGATCACATCACATGGCTTTGATGGCTCCACAATTTAACAGATCTAGCGACGAAAGCAAAACCTCTGTGTGAGCTAACAGGTTTAAATATTGGGCCCGGCCCGTTACAGGATAAAACGTCTGGCTTTGTATTTGGGCCCGTGGAAGATATCGTAATTTTCAGACCGGATCGGATCGAAGATCGGATAGGACTCTAAAACCTTAAGTTCTGTTCTAAATTTCTGTGTTTGTTAACTTTTTTCTGTTTTAGTAAAATAATCCATTCACAAAATAAATCATTTTAGCATAAACATTTTGTTACATAAATAGAGTGTCATTTTAAAATTTAATGACATTTTTGATGAAAAATATTCATTTTAAACCTCAATTAAAATGACAAGTATATTTTCTTTTTAGTTTTGATGAAACTTTTTAGCACCTAAAAAATCACTTTCTACACATAATTAATTGCCTGAATCCCTATCCCAATTTCTTTGAATATTGTTTTACGTTAGAAAATGATCGATGTTATAATATATAATTATTTGTGTATAAATTGTTAGCCACTAACGAGAAGGGGATACAATTCGATTTTCGAATTTTGGAGGAATATACATTGTCAAACTTTCATTTGTGTAGCTATAAACGAGAGGGTAAAATCTCAAAACCCTACCCAGTCGCAACATCCTCCTCCGAAACCCTAACCCTAGCGAATGCCGTATAATTATGTCATCTCTGTCGTGTAATTTCTTCTTCTCTAACCGCAATTGAATTTGACTATCACCGTCTATGTTTGGAGGTCGAAAAAGCTTTGAACAGCAACACAGAGAATTCTTCTATTCAAGCTTCGCCAATGAAACAATGGTTAGTTTCTTTGTATACTCTAGATTCATTAATTAAGTGTAATCTCCAAAACTTCAAGACAAACTCGTCTCTTTTGTTATGGTGTTTGGCAGCAAAAGACATAGGGAGGGTATGAGAAACCAAGATGTTGTGAATGCAGACAAAATCAAGTTTCTGGAATTTCTTCCTTTATGGTATTGGGTCTTGTCTTATTGAGAATGCACCTATGCTGTTGGAGGCAAATATTGTCACCAATGATACAAGTTTCATTTTGGGATCACTCACTTCACTCAAACGTCTTTCCTTGAACATATTAGCCTTGGAGGTAATGTTTTCTTGTAATTAGTTAGTTTCCTTATTATCGCATTGTTACTCTACTAATAATATTGCCTTCATGTATAGATTCCATTTCCTACTGGTAGTATATTTTACCAATTAGTATATTTGGAGATGTGTATAAATACTTAATAGAGCAGATTGGTGGAATTTGCTAACTTTCATGCTCGATACTTTTCCTAATTTACAAGTCCTCAAGCTCATTGGTGTAAGCATTGTAAATTCACCTATTAGCAATGGTTGAGAGAGTTGCGATGGTCGAGGAGTTGGAAACTGTGATCAAGGCTTCAAGTTCATGTCAGCTTGTATTCAATAATTCAAATGAACTTATATATTTGGAGAGTTGCTTTTAAAATTTATTAAATGTTAAAATCCGGATTTGAAATCTTGAATACAAACTTATATATTTATAGAAGATACAAATGATTGATCATGAATCCGAAGGAAAAGGAAAACCAGCTATTTTGAAAGCAGTCATGCCACCATCGACGACCAAGTTATGGCCAGTAACGTATTTACCGTCGTTGGAGGCCAAATACAGAGCAGCTTTAGCAACGTCAGCTTCTTCACATTCAGCTCCTTTTAACTCACCCATTCCTTTCACTGTTTCGCGTAGCTTCTCCTCCGATACCTTCGGGAACACTTTCCGAAGGTAACGGAGAGTGAGCGGTGTAGCTACCGTACCCGGTGAGATGCAGTTGATACGCACTCCGTGTTCGCAGAGCTCGCTTGCTGCCGACTTGACTATTCCGGGAATTGTGAACTTTGAGATTGTGTATGAATGTGGAGCCAACCCTCCAGTCACGCCTGCATTGTTTGGTCCATAACAAAAGTCAAATTTGAGCGTCGACCACAAATTGAAAACTACATTGAGCTTCATTTAAATTTGAAGTATTTAACCAAGCGTTGATTAATACGATAGGCTATTATATTAAGCTTTAATAAAAAATCTAAAACGCCTTTAACAAAAAAAAAAAAAAATCTAAAACGCTTCATAATGACCTAAGTCGCAAAACCTTAAACATTAAAAATTAAACCCAATACCTCCAGGGAGATTTACCACTGAGCCAACACAATGTTGGTTATAGTAAGGTACTTCTATCTAATCTAATTTAATGTTAATACCTGCAATGCTTGATGTGCACAAAATGCATCCTGACCTAGCCGGAATCATAAACTTAGCGGCGTGTTTGATGCCGGAGACAACACCAAAAACATTAATCCTCATTACTCTCTCAAACTCCGTCATATCAAGCTCCGATATACTCGCCGGAGTCATAGGTCCAACAATCCCAGCGTTGTTGTACATCACGTCTAGCTTCCCGTACCGCTCCACCGTCATTTCCACGGCTTCAGCGATATCCGCCTCCACCGCGACATCACACCGCACAAACTCTGCCGCTGAGCCTAGTTCTTTAGCGGTTTTAATCCCGGTTTCCGCATCTAAGTCGGCGATCACTACCCGGGCACCATGCCGGAGAAACTCGCTGGCCGTGGCCTTACCGAGCCCGCTAGCACCACCAGTTATGAGAGCTACTTTTCCTTCTAGCTTTTTACTGCATAATTTAGTGATTTGTATTAGTGCAACATGTATAGCTAGATATAATCTTAGTGATTTGTATTAATGTCCTGACCGTGCTATAATTCAAATTTATGTCCAGAGTAAAAAAAAAAACATAATCTATCTAATTAAAGTTGACTTACGAGTTAGGATCAATATATAATATAGATTAGATCAAGACCCGTTGAGTTAAAATTTTTTATCAATAGGTGCTTTTTCATTTAAATGTGATACTATGAGATCGATAGATTTGGTTCGATCAAAATTAGATATGAGAGACAGAAGAAGATACTTACCTCGTACAAGTACAACCGCCGCCACCACCTGTCGAGTAAGCGGCTGAGGCTGCGGTGGCTGGCCGTTTAAAGTTTCTGGCGAAAGAACGAGAAGAAGAAACAAATTAAGCTGATTTTTAACCTTTTCGGAAAATAAATTATTGAAACAAATTAAATTAGTAAATAGTAATTAGTAGTAATCGAGAGATGATCTAAATTTACCTGACGATGGATCTTATCAGTACGGCCGCCATGGAAGACTGCTTGTTGAGAACAAAAGAGTTTCTAGTATTGATGGATATAAAGTCAGAAGAGCTTGGTGTAGTGTCACCTAACTCTAGTGTCACTATTAGGTACAATATTTTAATATTCTATATTTGGATGCAGTGAGAATACTATATCACGTGGATGCATCTCTATAATCTCATATGACCATAAGTAGAAACATATGTGATTTAGGTGGAAGTACATATAAAAAAAAATTATGTAAGAAGTTTTAGATAGACTGTATATATATATAGAAATGAAGTAAAAATTCAATATAAAATAAAGATTTTTGTTTTTACACTTTATGAAAGAATTATTATATAATTTGGTGTTTATAAATTAGTTTTGTTTTTACCATCTGTTATATTATTATTAGAAATATTTAATATAATCTTATTATGATGATAGATTACCAACAATATATGCGATTACGATGAACAATTTTCATGAACAACGATTCTACGATGCAGCTTTTCCTGCAATACTAGGATCCACAACTGACGGTTCTGCATATATGTTATCTGATGGACAATCTATCCTTACAACACCTGGGACTATGATGGATACTTCTGCTTGCAGTACGTTTTGAAACCTTCGATAAGCTTTACATAAATAATATGCAAAAACTTACTTTTTCTAAGAATCGAACCAAGAGTTTTAAATCTTTGGGGAATTCACAAATAGGACAATGGCCTCCACAAAATGAAAATTTTTCTTTTTCAGACTATATATATACATATATATATATATATATATATATACATATATATATATATATATATAGTATATTAAATTGTTGGTGATTAGGATGTGTATTTAAAAAATGGCTAAATTATTGAGCTTCACCAAAAAACTAGAAGTATTCAATCATTGCTTTAACAAGATAGGATATTACATTACATAATCTAAGCCTCTAATTACTAGCTTCCTGATGACCGCAGTCACATAAATAACCCTAACAAAATAAAAAGTAAAGTGTTATAGAGACAATTCGAGAAGCCTTTGATTTATGTTATTCTTCAAAGTGAAGTTGAACATTACTGTACATCTTTAGCCAAAAAAGAAAAAGAAAAGGTATTACTGTCCATGCATGCATAGTGACAAACTAACAACGGGTTAAATACTTATATGATAACGTATACAATATACATTTTTTTAGTCATTTCGTATTTGATTTTATTTCGATTCCATATAATTTCGTTATTAATGAAATTGATAGAAATCATGATGCTCATGCTCTACATGATTTGTCTCAGGATTCATTAAAAAAAAAACAAAATTAATGTTAGTTTGGAATATTATGTCCAGCTTCTCTCGGAGGGTTATTCTATTTTTTTTTAATTATTATTTACCAGTTGGTGTACTATGCTTCAAAAGTGTTTTAGCTATACAAACATACTAGATCATCACCCGTACTAAAGTACGAGTTGAATTTTATTTATTACAAAATTTATATAATATATATATTAGAACTAAGTTTTAATATATTATAATAGTAAGTGAAAAAATATTATTTTTTTTGTCAGTTCCTATATACAATATTAGAATAAATATAGAATTTTTTCTATAATACTCAATTATCGATATTTTTTTTTAAGATATGAAAACGAAAAAAAAAATTATTTTTTAAAAAATAATATTTTTTGAACAATGAGTTAATTTATGTTAACAACCAAAAAATAGGATTGCATATATTTCAGTTAGATCAAAAATTAAAATATCATAAATGAATCACATATAAAACATAGATTATTTTGAATTAATTTAGAAAATTCTTTTTCAATTTATAATTCTTTGGTTGTTGAAATAGAGATTTGTTTGAGCTAATCTAATTACAGAATTTGTTTGAGATTTATAATTACGGAATTTACCAATTATTCGCATAATCGAATATGTTATAAACATATATTTAGTATATAATAATACCAAAATTAACCCGTGCGTGGAGTCTATATTTTTATTTTAGAATCTCAAATTTAAAATGAAATAAAAATAAAAATATTGCGAATATTGTAGTATATAAAATATTTTTATTTTAGAATCTGCGAAATATTGTAGTATATAAAAATATTGTAGTATATAAAAATATTGCCAAATTAAAATATTTAAATTTAGAATCGAATATTTTTATTTTAGAATATTTAAATTTAGAATCGAATATACTACAATCGAATATTTTTATTTTAGAATCTTGCGAAATATTGTAGTATATAAAAATATTTTAATTTTATTGTAATATTTTAAACCGAATATTGAAGTATATAAAATTATACATTTCAAAAAAATAAATGTATGAAATCGAATATAAATATGAGAAATTGTTAAAAATGCCCCTTTTTCAATACCCCTTTTCAAAAATGCCCCCTTTGAGAGTCCATTTTTAAGTTTGCCCTCTTTTAATTTTTAATGACCATTTTACCCTTATTTGAAACAAAATTAGGTCCACAAAATACAAAATATTTTTTGGCGGGAAAAGAGATCCCGCAATTTTCCCGCCAAAACACTTGTAAAAACCTTTAAAATACCTTGTAAAATTTTCCCGTAAAAATTTTTCCCGCCAAAAAATTTTCCCGCCAAAAATTTTTTTTTGCGGGAAAAGTGATTCCGCAATTTTTTTGGCGGGAAAAATTTACAAGGTATTTTAAAGGTTTTACAGAGTATTTACAAGTGTTTTGTAAGGTTTTACAATGTATTTTAAAAGGTTTTACAAGGTACTTATAAGGTTTTATAAGGTATTTATAACTTGTAAAACCTTATAAAAAAACTTGTAAAACCTTATAACTTGTAAAACCTTATAAAATAGCTTGTAAAATCTTATAATATCTTATAAATACCTTATAAATACGTTGTAAAACCTTTTAAAATACATTGTAAAACCTTATAAATACCCTTTAAAATACCTTGTAAATTTTTCCCGCAAAAAATTTTTCCGCCAAAAATTTAACGCCAAAAAAATTGCGGAATCACTTTTCCCGCAAAAAATATTTTTTGGTGGAAAATTTTTTTGGCGGAAAAAAATTTTACGGGAAAATTTTACAAGGTATTTTAAAGGTTTTACAAGTGTTTTGGCGGGAAAAATTGCGGGATCACTTTTCCCGCCAAAAAATATTTTGTATTTTGTGGACCTAATTTTGTTATATTTCCTTATATATTTGTGATATCTTTTATTAAAAGAAGGGTAATTTAGTCATTTTGTACATAAAAAGGGGTATTTTTAAAAATGGACAGCCAAAGGGGGCATTTTTGAAAAGGGGTATTGAAAAAGGGGCATTTTTGTGAGTCTCCCTATAAATATTCAAATTCTGACCCGTTGCTCAGTCGAAATTTTGTTGACCTTATTTTTGTGTAAAAGAAATATATTACTCAAGTCTGAATTTTTGACCCGTTTAATTGTTTCCTTTATAGATTGAACAATTTATATACGTTTTTAAAAATTCAAATCTTCGCATATGCAGAAAAAAAATTACTTTTTTATTATTATGTAGATGATATGATGATTTATTTGTTTCATATTAATATAATCATATAAAGATGAGAGATGAAGTTTAATGATTAATAACAAATTAATATGATAAGTTAGATATCATATCTTATATGTTCATTTTGATTGGTCATTTAAAAAAAAAAAAATAACAGATTTTCGTTTTATAATTTAATTAAATTAATTAAATGACATAAATTAGTATTTTACTTGTTTATCTTTAATAAATTGAATGAAATTTGTTTTAAAAGAAGATTTTTGTAATGGCATTCTTAAGTAAATTCTTACAAAAGGGAAGGTTAGTTAAGGGTATCTTATAAAGTGTACTTCCCAAATAATAGTATAGGATATATATGTAAAATTTCAAGACGAGCAAGAACTTTGTAGTTGTAATATTATATGCTTTAGTATCGTATGGTAACAGACTGATTTGCAATATTATGCAACTACATAAGTAATTAAACTTCTAATTTTGATTCTTGTTTTGTGAAATATCAAAAATCTTAGATGGTAAATATTTGGTTATCGATCAAACGTTAACTGTAATGATAAATTCACTTCGGTTTTGAAATTCATTGCCAACCTACCCGATAATTTTGAAGCTATTTATCAAGAAAAATAATACCACGGATTGGACTAAATCAAGAGATGGCCAAAGAGACCGCACGCATTCCGGTTACCCATACTCACAAATTAGTTTGGCAACCTTTGAAGTATTCAAAACCATACAAATCCGGCCAACCCTGAAAAAACCAAGTATGCATTCTTGACAACTAGACCATGCCAATGGAGACCAACGCAATACCTTACTTGACTCGACCTTGGATCCACCAATCTTCTCGTGCATGATACCAAAGCCGCTTAAGGAAAGTTGCATTTTTCTTTAGTTGGGCGTATCCCACGGCTTTGTATGGAAACCAAAAGATCATCTTCTTCATTTAAAGGCTCCAAATATGTCTTATTTGGATCTGAGAGCACTCAAATATTAATGACTCTATACTCTATACCAAATTATCTTTTTTACAACCGAAAAATACATTAAAAATTATACTTTATATTCTGTAAGATTATTTAGTTATCTTACTACAAGTTTTTAACTATCCTTAAAAGAGTTCTCATAAATATAATATACAAAATTGGAAACATAAAGGTATGTTGTGTCTCAAAAACATGAAATGCAAAGAAAATTAAGAAATTTCAAACACCATTAGTTAACATCACATATAACATTTATATAAGTTTAGAAAGTTTGTTTAAAACATTAAAACCTTCAAGTCTTTTTTGGTATTATCATGATTTAGTATCTATAGTAGTTCAAATGTTGTAAAACCTTAAAACTTAACATATTCATAATTTTCTATTGGTAAATATCTAAATAAAATCACGAAGGTTGCAACGTAGTCACAAAATAGTACTATAAGAGTAATTTTCTATTTTATGACACAAACCACATGAATTTTAAAGTATAAGAATAAAAAAATGTACATATGATTCTACAATCACTCAATGTTAGAATTCTAAACGAGATATCTCAGTTTAATGAGTAAAAACTTGATATGGCCAAAACACTTGAAATCACAAATACGTTCAAATTTGGGACTACGTTGTGATTAAATATTCCGCCTAAGAAAATTGTCTCTAATTCGTCTCAATTTACGATTATTTTGTAACCACAACAATACAGTCAATTAATAGTCCGATAACAGTCTCGAATATGAGACTATTTGCTGACTACATTTTTTAGTCATAAATTTGTGATTGTTATGTCACTACTCTGTGTGTAGTCGTTTATTAGTCGCAAAATAATTACAAATATTTGGGACCAAAAAAAGTTCGAAACATGTAGTTCCAAAATGCAGGTTTTCTTGTATATGATAAACTGTAATTTACATTTTAGTAATGTCAAACGTACTCTTGATGCGAGTCTTGAGACGTTGAGGCTTGTAGTTGTAGCATGTAAGAGCATGTGTATTGGTGAAATATCTATTGAATCTTTTACTAATATAATATAATTATTTTTAGTGTTAAAAGGTTTCTTATTTTATTTTTTCTTTTATTGGTGAAAGATTCGCTAAGTTTCTCATCAATATAATAGAATTTGAAAAACTCTGACGTTTTAGAAAAAACACACCTTATTCTAGCCCGATAATATAACTATCATTTTAAGAAAAAAAATGAATCACTCTCACAATTACACATAATGATTATCTAATACTAAGTTGACTGATATCAGGGCGGACGTAGGTTAGACAAAGATGGGGCACACTAAATTTATATATTTGTGTTTTTGTGTTAAGGACTGAATGAACTAATTATGCATTTTTGGTTGTGTCATATCAATGTTTTCCTCACATCTCAAGTTCGATTACATCTTCCTCTCTTTCTGTTGTTTATACTTTTCATTTTTCTAAACAGTTTATTAAATTAGTTATTTAAATGTCAAATCTAAATTTATTTTTATTATTCTGTCTTTAATTAGTTAAACAATAAATTTTGCAAGTATGTAATATTTCAATAATCTATATATACATTTTTGGATCATAATTAGCAAATAAATCCTGAAGTTGAGAAGTATTTACAATGGCATGCCATTAGCATTAATTATTTAGATTTTTTTATTTAAGTAAAAAATTTTAAATGAAATTCATTTCTCATATATTTAGCAAAAGTCTCTACGAAATCTTTCCTTATCTATTTAAGTAAAGATTTTGAAATCAAATATGTTCTCAACAATTTACCAAAAATCTCTACACAATCTTTTTAAAAATCTCGACTTAGTTAAGTTCTGATTTTTATCTGCAAAAAAAAAATTAATACTCCCTCCGTATTTTAATAAGTGTCGTTTTAGGATTTTCTTTTTTTTAAAATTAGATGTCGTTTTCAAATTTCAATGCAAAATTTCTTACTTTTTAATGTTTTATGATGTCATAAAACATTAAAAAGTAATAAATTTTGCATAGAAATTTGAAAACGACATTCAATTCAAAAAAATAAAAATCCTAAAACGACAATTATTAAAATACGGAGGGAGTAGTAACGAGTGATGTAAAAATCGGGAATGTTGATACTACAATTTCTTCTACTTCTTTTTTTTCATATAATGAAAATTATTTTTTAGGGATATTTTCTCAAAACCTCTAAATAAAACAAAGGGTTTCAAAAGATAGCTTCTCTTTTGGCGGGTCGACCCGCAAACCCGCAACTCTCTACGGGCTTATCCGCATAAACCTGCGACCCGTAGTGGATAAAAATATTATTCAAAAAAAAATAACAAATGATGTTTAATTTTACGGGACGGGGTTATATGGTGCAACAGGTTTGGATCGATATTAATATTAAACAATATACTATGGATGAAATCCTAGAATTAAAAATCAAAATTTAATTATAAAATCAGAAACACTAAACAAAATAAACAATATTAACAAAACAAATACAACTTAAAATTTTGCTAAATAATTTTTTAGTTATAAAAAAATCGACCCGCGGTGTACCGCGGGATAAAATCTAGTATATTAAGTATTTTGAATCAATTTTTTATAACAAAAAATATTGTGCCCCATGTAAAATAATTTTCTAGATCTGCCACTGACTAATATGGTCAACTATACTAGCTAGTGAAATGTCGAAACTCCAAAGAGAGGCTAAATTTATAATTCCAAAGTTCTAACCATATAGTGTGACTAGTGTCCCATAGATAACAAACGATCACATCAACAATGACCCAAAAGGCCAAAACACTCATAATAACCACATAGAAAACTAAAAAAATAAAACTTTAGTTAACTTGATTATTTAATTAAGCAGAAGGGAGATTAAGAGACTTGAAACAAGTAAATCCACCATCAACAACAAGGTTATGCCCCGTCACAAACTTAGCATCATCCGATGCCAAATACAAAGCCGCTTTAGCCACATCTATCTCCTCACACTTCTCTCCCTTTAGCTCTCCCGTCGCGTTCACAATCGCCAAAAGTTGTTCCTCCGGAATGTTATGACCCGCAAACGCCTCCCGAAACATCCTCAGCGTTAGAGGCGTCGGGATACCCGCGGGTGATATACAATTGATTCTCAATCCGTGCTTACACAGCTCGCTAGCAACCGTCTTGACCACACCAGGGATTGTGAATTTAGAGATTGAGTATGCGTGTGGGCCTAGACCGCCCATCAAGCCGCTGATGCTAGAGAGGCAAAGGATGGAGCCCGAGCCAGCGGGGATCATGGCTCGAGCCGCATGCTTTATCCCTAAGACAGTACCTCGCACGTTGAGACGCATCACTTTGTCGTAAGTGTCCATGTCTAGGTCCGCTATGCTTGGTGGTGATATGGAGCCTGCATTGTATGTTGAACATACATGAGCAAATTATTTTTATAAAGATATGTATATATATAATTATAGAAGTAATGTTTGATTTTTTTTTTTTCCTTAATATTTACACCAAAAAAAAATGTTTGATTTTTTTTTTTTATCTTAGTATAAATAAATTCATATTTAAACTTTTTTATAAGTTCTTACATGATATTCCAGCACTATTGAGCATTATGTCGAGCTTCCCATGACGAGACACGGCGGTCTCCATGGCCTTAGCGATTTGTTCCTCCTCAGTGACATCACATCTTAAGAATTGTGCGGCTGAGCCAAGTGTGGTCGCGACCCTATGACCAGCCTCTTCATCTATATCTACGATAATTACTTGCGCACCTTGGCTCACAAATTCCTCCGCTGTGGCCTTCCCTAATCCGCTTGCACCGCCGGTTATGACCGCTACTTTTCCTTCTAACTTTCTATATATAAATATATCCGAAGCAAAAATGTTAAGATGGTTTTTGTGTTTTTGAATTAAGATTAAAAGATCGAATCTCGTTAGTATATATATAGGATCGACCTTGAAGAAGTTGAATAGAGGAGAGTAGAGCTAACTGGCTTGGATATCAAACCATTTGGTACATTAATGAGTTTGAAGCTTCTGCAAAGAGAAGCCACGGAGAAGAAAAATGAAATGGAGACGAATTGTTTAATTAGGGTAATTAAGAAGAGATTAGACGCATGTCTTGGGAGTGTTTTTACCTTGCGAATGACCTCAACATATTTTTGCTTCCTGCCTCTTCTTAATTACTATGTGAACGTGAATTTGAGATCTTTTTGGTGCAAGAGTCTTAAAGCTTTTTATCATGGGAAACAACGAGAGAAAAGGTTGGGAGAAGCAGTGTAGATTATTATATCTATCGAGATCCCATTTTCGTTAACAAATATTTTCTTTTTCTTTCTATTATTCTTTTACATTCTTTAATATTCAAAGTTTCATTCCACTTTCCACGTAGCTTAGCTATGCATCTAATAACACATGATTTATAAGTAAAAATGTAAGGTTTATTGAATTTTATATTTTCAATCAAAAGAAAATGAATAATTGTAATTTATAATGTTCTATACTTGATCATTCTATATATCTTTCTCAATGTAAGGCTTTGAATGATTACTCAAAAAAACTAGAATTGACTGGTGGATTTTTTTTTATGGCATTCAGATTTTTTTGTTTATTGTTTTGTTTGAAAACTTTACTTTTGCATCAAAACACATTTTAAATTAATTATATTTACACCAATTGAAACATAGAAACCTTTTCGGTATGTGGTTTAAAGATACATTTTAATTTGTTGTTGTTTCATTGGACTAAATTTTGTTAAGGATCGAATATACTTAACATACGTGTGTGAATTTTTCAGAGTCGGTGCAATGTAAAATTTGTACACATTCTTCTAAAAAGAAAATGGAGTTATACTTTAGCATTATATATATATATATATATACTTGATTAGTTAGTTAGTACACATATTCTTTTCATTCTAGTGCTTTAATATAATACAACAAAGCTTAGACTAATTTAAACCCAAATAACGATACTGACTCTCCATTAATTCATTCAACCAATGTACTCATCGAGCGGATAAGAATTTAAAACAAGAAAGAATTAAAAATGAAGAAGAAGAAGAGAATCTTGGATAAGACAGAGATTCTCAAAAAGCTAAAATCCACTGAAAAGTGGTTGACCTAAAACCGAAAGATAAAAAAGGATTAACAAATGAAAAAGTATTCATGTTAGTGGCCACTAACTTTTGTTGAGTAGGTTTAATCATGTTATAAAAATAGAGAGTTTTGTCTACATTTCTAGAGACAATAAAGGCAATAACACACCGTTTTACAGGCTTTACTTCTACACAACTCACAAACCTCTATTTCTCTATGATTTTAGTTACGATTAAGATAACTAATCAGTGTGAAATTATTGGGTAACTTATTGATTAAGAATCTTGGATAAAATCAAAACCTCTTTTGTTTTGTCATCTTCCGTATGGAAGGAGACAGACTTTAGACAAAGCAAGCTCTATCACTCTTGTCTTTTTATAGACTTTTTGTCTCGTTTTACTACAGCAACAGTATCTCATAACTTTTTTGGTCACATGGGTACACGTGATTTTGATTCCATCATGGGCCTAGACGTATAAGGCTTCTACAGGCCCAAATACCATATTTGTCTTGGGCTAATCTTAATTAGGGTGTCACTATTAGAACAAAAATAATGGATTAAAGATGTGGATATTCAAAAGCATCACTGGACGTAAGAGTCTAAGAGATGTTAAATCCGGATAAACGGATGTAGATAAAACTTACTTGTTTAAATAAACAAGAAATTTATTTAAACAATACTATATAATAATAACAATATTATTCCTTTTTTTGTTTTTTCTTTTGTTTAAGTCTATTGAAGAAACGCATTTACAACCAAACACACATCAAAAATAAAAAACAAAAAAATTTAGATGAAAGAAGAGCTCTTAAATTTGAGATCTCATAACCATGAGTTACTCCAGTTTCTCCAAAGAGATGAAGAACAAACCACTACGTCTACCGTACATTATCTACAATCTAAGCACTCAGATCTACCACAAAAAAGAAGCCTTTTATCACAGAAAACACTCTGACTAGTACATGCATATTGCAGCTCAAGAGTCAAAGTGTAGTTATTCGTTTGATATTATTTTTATTTATTTTTGACATAATTTAATTTCAATTAGTATTAATTTATTTAAACAATAAATATCATATAACAAGAAATATATTTAACTTAAAACTTGAATCTAAATTAAAACTAAAACCATACTAAACCAGCTATAACATATCTATACTATTAATTTGGATACCATTACTTTTAGACCCAACAATTCCCAAAAAAAAAAAACGAACTAAAATCGAACCAAAATTAGATTAAATTCTCATAATTAGAGGATATCCAACAAATACATGACGAAAATGGATAACGAGAAAAATTCAAGAAATTATGATTAAAACCACTATCCAAGATCTCAATAGTTTGGTAAGAGCCAATTTTAAGATAAGTTAATTGGATAATTCGTGGAATTTGAGATTTGGATTTGAACTTTTGGATAATTTCTGAAATAATAAGTATATTAGAAATTATCATCATGATTTATGTGATAGTGAATCTTTATCCATAACAGAACAATTTATGCTAATCAGGTGGCAATATCTTGTGAATCACGAGCCTTGTCCCATTATTTGCCACACAATTTCAGGAAAATATGTTTCGTTAATAGGTGGATAATACAATTATGATGTAATAGATTAATTATGAATTAAAAGAAGATGTGAAAGGCCTAAGACAACTTGTAAAATATGTGACATTTTTTACTTTTAATTTGTTTAAACATATATATGTTTCTTTTGTAATTTTTTACTTATCACTCAAATTTTTGTTTTAACAAAATATGATTTAAAGCACTATAAAATCATTATAGTTAATGTATTTCACAATTTTATAACTCCATAAGATGTAACAAAAAAAAACAATATTTCTTATTATGTGGCCTTTAAAATGTTAATATTTCATGTGGCTGTGGTAAATGCTTTTTTGATAAATCTAGTTTTCTTTTGAAAATTTGAAAACTCTATGTAATTCTGATAAAATCATGAGTAACTGAATACATGATTGAGATAGATTCTGGAAATTTGTATAAGTAAAACCACTATCCAAACTTTCAATAGTTTGGTAAAAGTCAGACAAGTATTTTGGATAATTAGTGAGATTCCAAAAAACATTTGTGAAATTTTGGATAATTTATGAACAACGATTTTAAAAGTTTAATTTAAATATTGAAATGTGTGATTCACATATCGTGGTTTATACTTTATAAATTACTAGATAAGGCCCGCCTAAATAGGCGGGTGTAAAAAATAAATATAATTTTGTATCGATAATATTTAAATTCTAAATAGTAATCTATATTTTTCTTATTATTTAATTTAATAATTTTGTTTCAAACCAAATTTCAATCTTACACATTCTATTTTTGCATACACTTTAACTATTTATTTCAACCAAATTTCAATCGTATTTCAATCATAAACTTTAACTATTTATTTCATAATAATAAAATTGCATTTAAATTCTACACACTCCATCTTATCGATGATATTTGAATTCAAAATAGTACCTCGTACACTTTCTCTATATTTAATTTAGTATTTTTATTGAAAAAATCAAATCTTACACATTCCATTTACATTAATATAAATTTAACTATTATTTAATCATGACAAACTGGATTTTGATTCTACAATCTTCATCTTAATGAATAAATGCTAAAACAATTATATCAGAATAATATGTATATCAGATCATACTAAATCTATATATAGATAAGTTAATGAATGGTTATTTAGTTATATGTAAGTTAATGATCTTATATATTTTTTAAACTTATCTTTTTTAAATGATAATTTTTTATTTAGTTAATTATTGTATCTTGAAATTATTTATTTTGGTTTCTACTTTCAGTTTGAATTATATAAGATTTATCATATATCATAGTTCTAATGATTTTAGATAGCAACATGTGTCATGATTTAAATTACAAATATACATTATTTATATCAATTTTATTCTAATTAGAAGCAGATGATGATTTTAAATAAAGTTTTATATTGTTTATTAGAAAGTCTTGAATACGTAAGAACCTACGTTGCATGGAAACGGAAACGGAAACGCGGAAGCGAAACGTGTGGAAACGGATTTTTAAGAAAATAACAAAATGGAAACGTTTCAGAAACGTGTATATATATATATATATCAAAATAGTATTAAAAATATATTTTAAATAACCTAAATAATTAATAAAAATATTGAATAGTCTAACTAAAATAATGATAATAACACTCAAAATAAAAAATTAAGACCATATATCATGATCACAAATAATAAAATAAGTGTTTCATATTCCTCATACTAATTAAGTTTTTAAAGAAAATAATATCAAATATATACTTATATTTTTTAAATTAATTAATTTTTAAGTTTCAAAAGAAAAAATTAAGTTTCCGATGTGTTTCCAAAATGGAAACGTACGTTTCCATCGCGTTTCCAAATGGACTTTTTAAGGAAACGCGTTTTCATGACGTTTCCACGCGTTTCCAAGAGTTTCCGATTCCGAAACGTTTCCGAAACGGGAAGCGCACTTCGGATGGAGTTTCCATGCAACATAGGTAAGAACCATATGTTTCTTCTTTGTTTTTGATATTTTAAATTTAATTATACTATTTTAACTTGATAACTTAAATTTATATGTTCATATTTGAATTATATAAGATTAATATATATATTTTAATCGACCCCAACTATTTCCATGCGGTCTTTATCACGAACTCACACAATATTTATATAACAAACCTGAACTATGTGACTTATAGCCAATTTCAACATATTTTTTTTTGTAGTTGTTAATGTCGATTAGAATTGTTAAGTCATAATTATCTGTTCTAATGATTTATCATATATCATATTTCTAATGATTTTAGATAGCAACATGTGTCATGATTTAAATTACAAATTTACATTATTTATATCAATTTTATTTTCTAATTAGAAGTAGGTGATGATTTTAAATAAAGTTTTATATTGTTTATTAGAAAATCTTGAATACGTAAGAACCATATATGTTTCTTCTTTGTTTTTGATATTTTAAATTTAATTATACTATTTTAACTTGATAATTTAAATTTATATGTTCATATTTGAATTATAGAAAATTAATATATATA